ATTTAACCCGTAATTTTTTTTGTTTATTTGTTTGTTAGTTTTTGAACCTGTCATTGATACTGTCTCAACCCATGTGTTTTGAAAAATTGAACTTGCATTAATTCTAACATATTGTCTGCTCAATACTGTGTCAATTAATTCCATGACACTATATATTGTTGCTGATGTTTTGTTGGGGCTTTTAACTGACCGGGACTTTACTCTGCTAGCTCTGCCATCAGACCAGGGAGGGTCGCCCCAAGTGGCCACCAGGCTTGTCTGGACAATAGGATGCTGGACTCTATGCTAGGTATATGCTTGCAATGAAGGAATCTCAACTGAACTTGAACTGTGGTTATGTAGCAAGGTGGAGGAATCCACCATGGATGGAGGGTTGTGGGATGGGGTGGGGGGAATCCCAGTACCTATAAAACTGTTTCACATAATACAACGTTACTAACAATAAAAAAATTAATTAATTAATTAATTTTTTAAAAAGATCAATGTATTACTCTAAAGTGTATGTGATCTTACTGCTATAAACAAACCTACTGTATTTCCAGTCATATGAAAGTACAGCACATTATATTATATAGAGCATAATATAGAGCACAATACTTGATAATAAAGGACTGTTACTGGCTTATGCATACACTACATTATACCTTTACTATTACTGTAGGGTGTATTTTATTCTTGGTTTATGCATATATGATATTATATTAGACTTTCATTATTATTTTAAAGTGCACAGCACCTGTTTATTGAAAACTGATGACCCAGGCAGGTCCTCAGGACGTGTCCAGGAGAAGGCATTGCCATCATGGCAGATGACAGCTCTGTGGGTATACTGAGTCTGAAGGCATTCCATGGGACATTTGGGACAAGACGTGAAGTTGGAAAGTGGGAGCAGTGATACCCATGATCTAAAGTGTTCTTGACTTTTAACAAAAAAAATTCTGATTTTTTTTTAAAGTTAAAATTCTAAAACTGAGCTATTTTTTTAAAGATTTATTTTTATTATTTTTTTATTGGAAAGGCAGATATACAGAGAAGAGAGACAGAGAGGAAGATCTTCCGTCCGATGATTCACTCCCCAAGTGAGCGCAACGGGTCGATACTATGCCGATCCGAAGCCAGGAGCCTCTTCCGGGTCTCCCACGCGGGTGCAGGTTCCCAAAGCTTTGGGCCGTCCTTGACTGCTTTCCCAGGCCACAGGCAGGGAGCTGGAAGGGAAGTGGGGCTGCCGGGATTAGAACCGGCGCCCATATGGGATCCCGGGCGTGCAAGGCGAGGACCTTTAACCACTTGCGCCACCGTGCCGGGCTCAACTAAGCTATTTTTTTATAACTAGGTTTTTTTATAACCTAGGCTTATGTACACCATTGTCAAGTTTAAAAAAAACAAAAACACAAAGTCACATTTCTCAGAGTATATCCACATTAGCAACACCAATAATATTACTGGTCACAACATGTGCTGTTTCTTTAAGCAAAATCAGTACAACCAAATAGTTAAGTTAGCTTCAGCCCCCTTTACAAATTGAATTGATCTGTATCTCTGTTAAAGTTCCAGTTTAACTGAGGGAAATAGTGGTTTCTATCTCAAATGTTTGTTTCGAGGATTAAAATGAAGTGAGGCAGACGGAGAATACCAAGCCTCATTGCCCAACACACACTGTGCTGTCCACAGTCAGTGACGAGAATGGGCACTTTTATGTTGTTGATGGTAAACACGGAATGGAATGTATTCATTTTTTTCGACTCAGGAAGGGGGTCCCACAAGGTATTCTCCAGGATTCCACATGACCTGCCAGCATTGATGCTGAAAGACAGGAATGAATGAAGGATGAGCCAACAGTTGCAGAAATTAATTGATAGGAGGAAGGGAGAAAGAAAGAGAGAAAGAAAGAAAGAAAGAAAGGACGAAAGAAAGAAAGAAGGAAAGAAAGAAAGGAAGGAAGGAAGAAAGGAAGGAAGGAAGGAAGGAAGCCAAGACATGGTTTTCTTTCTTTTCAATACTGAAAACTCATTACACAGCAGGCTCTCCACTGGGCAGTTCATTTCGATGAAGATCAAGCTATTTTGGCCTCCTGTTCTACCTGTTTCTAGCTGTATAAACGTGGTAAAAATCACTTAACCTCAGTTTCAGTGCCGTGCTTTCCTCCTCTAGAAAATAGGAGTCATTAATAGGAACTCTTTCTACTTCTGTATCAGAGAATTGTTCTGAGAGATTAAGTGTTCATAAGTAAGATGTTTATTTTAGATATTCTTACTTCCTTGGAGATCACGTTCAGTTTAAGCTTTCAAATATCAGCTATCCACTACCAATGGCCTCTTTCCCATATTCCAGAATCGTAATATTACCTTACATACCAGCTCCGCTTGGAGGTCTCGCAGACCACAGCACATCTATCACTGAGCTATCACTTTCCTGCTTCCACCCCCTTCCATGCACAGAGTTCCCCTTGACACTTTCATTGGACATGCCAAAACTTTGGGGGTATCTGTGCCTTTTTCCTCATCTGATCTTTCATAGAATCCTGGCGCACTCACATTAGAATGTATTGTAGGTCCAGCAGGGCCCAGGTCACCTGGCCTGGGTTTTGGGGCCCAGCTGCAAGAATGGGTCCCCTACAATGGAAAAGACTGAGCAGTGGACGGCAGACCCTGATGCACATGGAGGATATGGCAGCCCATTGGGGCCTGCAGAGGACATCTGGTACCACAGCAGAGGGAGGATAGAACAAACTGTACAACTACCCCAGTATATGATGACAGCAAAAATCTGGGTGAATGGTTTCCTTATCCGTGGATCGGTGATAGCATGAATTTATGAAACCACCTGGGCAGAACTCTCAGAGTGTGTGCCACATCAAGACCCTGGGTTGATAGCAGATGGCTGTTCTCCATCCCCAGAAAGTGGGGTGGTTAGGAGGCTGGGTATGGCCTCTCCCTTTATATCCCCACTCTGCCACCAGCTCCAGAAACCGGAAGAAGAAACAAAAAATGCAGAAACTATGATCACACCCACTTTCCCCTAACCCTCAATCCTTCTCACCCTGATCAACTATGTAAACATCATCTACAATAAAAAATTTAGAAAAACATTGTAGGATCCAGCCACGATTCACCAACTCAGCCACCACCACTTTACAGTTACCTTGCCCCCCACCCCCGGATGTGCACTGCTACCCTTCTTCTCAGAACAGTTTTATTTTACATGAAAAAAAAAACAATTTATGTATTTACTTGAAAAGCAGAGTTAGAAGGAGAGAAAGACAGAGATCTTTCCTCTGCTGATTCACTCCTCAAATGGCCACAATAGCCAAACTGGAGTGGTCTATTTCCAGGAGTCAGGAGTTTGTTCTGGGTCTCCGACAAGGTGCGCAAGTCCAAGCATTTGGGCCATCTTGCACTGATTGCACAGATGCATCAGTAAACAGTAGCATCAGAAGCAGAGCGACTAGGACTTGAAGGCAGTGGTGTGAGCTGCTAGGCTACAGTGCTAGTTCCCTGAAAAGTCCATTTCCTACACAGGATTTGAAGGGATGCTTCTGTTTTTATTTTTGTTTTTATTTTTGAAAGGCAAAAATGTGTGGGGCATAAGAGAGAGGGGAAAGAGAGAGAGAGAGAGACACAGAGCATGAATCTTCCACCTGCTCATTCACTCACCAAACAGCCATGTAAGCCAGGGCTGGGTGTGGGTCTCCACACACACACACACACACACACACAAAACTCCAGAACCTGGAAATCTATCAAGGGCTCCCAGATAGGTGGGCAAGGGTCAAAGAACATCCTACATCGCTTTCCTAGTATATTAGCAGAGAGCTAGAGCAGAAGCAGAGCAGTCTGCACTCAAACTGGAGCTTCAGTGTGGGAGTTGGTACTGAAGGTAAAGGCTTAACCCTGTGTGCCACAATGTGAGTGACCAGAGGGATCCTTTTACAGACAAAATCACAGCACATCATGTGTCTTCAAAGATCTTCCGACAGCTTCAGACGCACTTGAAAAAGAGCCAAATTCCTGAATCTGGCCTGTCGGCCCAAAGTGATCTAGACCCCAGAATTTCCCTACTTCATTTTTGTACTACTGTACTCCATACTTCACTCCAGCTACACTACTGGAAAACGCTGCTCTCACAATGCTATCCTTCAGCCCCATTGCCTGGAATGTCTGATTTCACTAATACCCCTACCTCCTACATGCCTTCACTCAAATGTCATTTATCTTACTGATCCCCTTGCATGACCAATCTATTTAGAAATGTGACACCTCCATTAATTCACCCTTGCTATTACTATTCACTCTCTTTCCTTTGTTATATTTCATTTCCACATTTCTTTAGGCATATGCTAACATTCACTTCCTTTTTATGTTTCTTATCTACTGTGTGCTCCCAGCCCCACCTCTGGTAACACAAGTTGTGCAAGGACACAAAACTACTTACATTTTGCAGACAGAGCATTGTTTGGCACATAGCAAGAATCTAGCATAGTTCCAATAAATTAATATGTACAAAAGATAATCTTCAAAGAGCTAGCATACTAACTTAAAATACAACTAACAGGCAGAATCAAGATGAGGGCCTAGTTTGAACATTCTGTCTTCCTAATACTGAATTTGCATTTGCTCATTGCTCTGTTTGGGGGAGGCATACACACAACTAACATTTAAGAAGTACTTTAGTAGGTCAAATAGCATGGCAGATGACAAGGATTAGCAAGTGCGGTTTGTAGGTTTCCAGTAGTAAGCTTAGATCACTTAGCTGAGTTTCCTTAAATAACAACTCCTCTGTGTAGATCAAGTGACCAAATTAGACTCTCTCGGGTCCCTGAACAATCCGGTGACATGAACGGTGACAGGAAATATCATTTCTGCACAATAACATAATGACCGATGCTTGCATACCCCTTTGCAATTGTGCGTCTTGTCAGTGGAATTCATGGCAGCAGTCTGAAAGTTCTCGCTTCCTCCTGCAGAGGGAAAGATGAGGCTGCCAGGAAGAACACTACTCACCAGGATGAAGACGGTGAAGAATATGACAACGATGGCAGCCGTAATGAAGAGCTTCTTCCGAGGAAACACGGCAGCAGGAAGGAGAAAGACCAGCGCAAAGCAGATGGCGCCACGGAGGCCTCCATAGGCAATGATGAATTGATCTTTGAAGGTCAGTGGAATGGTCCGGAACCAATTAATGACCTGAGTCAGGACAAAGACACCTGCAAAAAAAACCAAAAATGCCAAAGCAAAGTACGTCCGATGTGATCCAGATTGTGAATTATCCAAATTGGGCAAATTATTTAAGAATAAGCCCCAATTTCATTCCATGTTCTCTAATGTGCTGGTATTACTAGGTTTCCCAGTCTCTGCTGTAGTTGATCAAGATAATGGGAGGATAATGTGGGGCCAAAGCAGCCTAGCAAGAGTAAATTTCCTTGTAGTAAAAGCTTGACGATATGAAGAAAGAATCTATCTAGAAGGAGGGAGGAAGATAAAGAAAGGAAGAGGAGAAGGAGCTGGAGAAAGAAAAAAACATAGGTAGGAGGAGGGGGAAGCAGAGGAAGAGAAAGAAAACCAGGAAGAGGGACAGGTATCAGGTGAAAAGGAAGAGTAAGGAAAAAAGGCTAGAGAGTAGGAGAAGAAAGAAAGGAAAAGAAGGCAAGAGAGGCGGAAGTAGATGGTGAAGTAGAAGCAAAGATGAAAACTCAGCCCTGACAGAAAGGAAAGGGCAGGAAGAGCGTTCCATTCTGCCATAAGTGCCCTTAGCTGCTCCTTGGGCAAACAAGCGCTCATTACCCAGCGCCCGCCAGATCAGACAGAAGGCCAACGTGAAGCAGACAAAGGCCCAGTTCCATTCGTGGTTCTTCCCAACGGTGGACACGCCCATGAAGATGAAGATGAGGGTCTCGCTGACACTGCTCAGCATCTTCATGAAGTACTTGATGGTCGTGTAAGATTTCTGAGACACATTCTCTTCCACGTACTTGTTCATAGTCATGGCACAAGCAGTGATTCTGAAAGAGAAGATTTTTTTTTTTTAAATTAAAAATGACAATGAGTTCAATTAGAATACCAGTCATCTCCAAAGAGCCAAATGATGACTCCGGTCAGCTGCCTGTGGTTGCATCATCAATAGCTGTTTTTTTCTTAGTTAATTAAATGTGTTTGAGAGTCAAAGTTAATGTGAGAGAGAGACAGACAAGTGAGATCTTCCAATGACTGGTGCATTCCCTAAGTGGTCCCAATGGTGAGGCCCAGAACCTTCATCTGAATCACCCACATGGATGGCAGGGGCCCCAGCACTTGTGGCATCTTCCATTACTTTTCCCAGTCCTTTACAGCAGAAAGCTGGATCAGAGGTGGAGCAGCTAGAACATGAACCAGCACCCACATGGGATGGTGTCCCAGGTGACAATTTCACCCACTGTGTCACAATGTTGGCCCTCTCAATTGATTTTTATACGTGAATGTAATTTACTGAAGAGGAGGTTCTACTGTTTTTGAAAGTCTTTGTTAATACAGTTGACTTGAGCTGCACACTCTGCCCAGCTTTCCAGTTTCCTTTGATTCCTCCCTTACAGAGCACTACGGACACTTGCCCCATCAGCTTGCCTTTCAGTACCCCAAACAAACAAGGACAAAATCAACTCCATATCCATCATCTTGCCATCAAACCAATTCCGACCCCTGTGTATACTTTATTTCTCTGTTATATAAAACTCAGGGGGCCAACATTGTGGCATAATCATCTAAACGTCCCTTGGCACACCCATGTCCCCTACTAAAGTACCAGTTCAAGTCCCAGTTGCATGGCTTCCCATTCAACTCCCTGCTAAGGTCCCTAGAGGACAGTAGCTCGAGTACTTGAGTCTTTGTCACTTCCTTTGGAGACCTGGATACATTTTCAGGCTCCTGTTTTTTGTGGCCCTTTAGGGAAGTGAGCCAATGAATGGATGATTCTCTTTTTCTCTGTCACTCTGCTTTTCAAACACAGTAATCCTTTATTTTAAACATCCTAAATTATCACAACAAATTTTGAACTTAAAATTAGAATGACACTGGGCTTCCAGTCCTTGTCCTAGCCCTTTACTCTCCCCAAAATGATTAATCACCACTGGTTTTCAGTTTCTCATCTTGATTATGTCTTGCACTCATCCACTTCTCTTTATCCTAATAAACTTGGTTCCTATTTATCTGTTGGAACCATTTCTGGGAAATAGAAACCGTGCTAATGGGCTCTGAGAATTCTGGAAGGAAAGAAACTCTTGTGCTTGTTTTCTGTACATTTCCAAAACTTCACTACCACAGAGATCTCTTCCTCCAGCGCACATAGTATCTATTTTAATTTGGCCTGATCTGCCACACCCAGGTAAAGGCAGGCTCAGGACAGAAGTCATAACACTGAGTAAGACTTGGGAAGCTCCTCTAACTTCCCCAGTGGAGAATTCCAGCCGCACCTCCACCTTCCCTCCACACTTACGCCTCAGCTGTCTCATGACTCTCAAACACACCTTCAGTCTTTATCGTCTTCTTGTCTTACACAACAACTTACAGTGAGCTCTACTCTGTCCAGAATGCCACCCAAAGAAGGAACTGTAGAAGAAGATACACAAAGATATACAAAGTGCCTAGACTAGAGTGAATCCAAGGGACTTTTATCAGAAAGTGCTGTAAAATTCAACCAGGAGGATGGAACGAAAGTGTTGTGTGTGGCCTTCTACTGACTGGAAACATGGTGTAAATCAACTTGCGTTCCTGACCGTACAAATTGCCCATACTGATGCTATGCACTCTTCCTGCCTGGCCCCCACCTTGAGCCTCCTTGTACACTGAGAAGATTGCTGCTGTCCTAAGGAAATCCTCCCGCAGTGCATATGTGTATGCGATGAGGAATATCAATCCAAGGGCTCTGAAAGTTAACACTGCAAGAGGAATACCTTTCACTGCAAAAGAGTGTTCCTCACATAGGGAACATGTTTGTTGATTTTTGTGCCCCCATTTAAAGTAAAATAAAGATTTCACTGAGTCTAAGGACCAAGCATGTAGTCACCATTTCGCGGTCTTCAGCATAAACAGGTGTTCCTTTTAGATTGATGTGAGTGAGGAATGCGTGCTTCTCCAAAGAATGTGCTCACCAAATGTGCTAATAAAATTCAGCAGTTCCAAAGCCATGGAAGAGCTTTTGAGCAACTGAGGGCTTCTAAACAATAATAATCAATGCTTGCAGCGCTTTCATGTTGTGTCTGGCACTGTGCGAACACTCTGTGTGACTTATGCCAGTCTTTGTCACAAGTTTATGAAGCAAGCTATGTTATCGTTCTTACTTTTATAGACAGGAGGACAAAAGGCAAACAGAGGTTCAGTTATTCAAGTTTACACTGATAATAAATGCTGGTACCAGTGTGGGAACCCAGACAGTCACCCAAATCAGTCCCCAATAAAACCCTGCCTCTTCCCGAATCCTCACTGAGCTCAGGGATCTCCAATGGGAACACTGTCCCTCCCCTCTCCAGCCTTTCCTCATCCTTTCTCAAGCACAAGTCTGTCTGCATGCATTTCCACCAGCTGCCATAACATGAAGTGGCTTCAAATGACATCATCCTATCACAAGTCATTTTCGGTCAGCTAAGACGAAGGCGTTGGCAGGGCTGCCACCTTTCTGGAGGAAGGGGAGTGAGATCACTGCATTTGCTTCCATGCCTTGGCCAGTGGCTGCATCACCCCCCCTGCTTCCCTACCTGCTGATAGCACCCCTTCCACCTCTGTCTGGCACGAGAATCTTGTTGATGGCATTCAGCCCACATGGATGAGCCTGTGAGGTCCCTTCATTATTTAATGCGCCGTATTAGGAGTTTTTAAGACTTAAGCTACGGATACCCTTAGAGAACACTGGTTAACTATACCTCTGGCAGTCTTCATTATTCACATTTGACCTGGCTTTTTCTTTAAGCAGACTTTTTGAAAAAGATGCCCATAATATGGACCAAAGAATAAAGGCCATAGCTGGATTCAGTTAATGAAGGGTCTGTATTGTGATGTGTTTTATAAAGAAAAAGCACATCTGATATCACACAAAGGAGCCTTTCTCAAACATGTCAAATAGAACATCTTCAATAAAAATTATTTAGAGCCACATTACTTTTCAAAACAAGCTTCAAGGGTTTAACTATGAAGTATTTAAGCTTACAAAAAAAAAATGAAAATAAGGAACATTAAGTACCTACTACCCGGCATTTTCTAACCACTTTAATTTGAAGATATAAAATAATTTAAGTTATGGAGCAAAATCTTGCAGGTTACCCACAGTTGTCTCATTTCCACCTCTTTCGCTTAGATTCAGATTTCTTCTATCACAGGCTAGAGAACAGTGTTTTTGTGAACAGACCAAACAATTTCCTCTGGAGTCTTGTTCACATCATTCATTGTGCAAAATGTAAGTCACACAGAGGACAAGTGTTCACCTGGGCGATTAGGATGGTGCCAGCAATATCCCTGTGAGAGTGCCTGGGTTTAAGTCCCAGCTGTACTTCTTACGCCAGCTTCCTGCTGATGTGCACTTAAGCAACCAGGTGAGGATGGCTCACGTAGTTCCCATCCATGTGGGAGACCCAGACTGACTTCTCAGGTTCTAACTTCACTGGCCCAACACTGGCTGTTCCAGGTGTTTTGGCGGGGGTGGAGGGGATAGACCGGGGAACAGATATTTCCCTTTACTTTCATCCCCTCCTCTCTTCTCTCCCCTCCTTCAGTTTCCTTCCCTTCCAATTCTTTCTCTCTCCTCTCTCCCTTTCAAACAAATCAATAAAATTTTTTTCAAAAGCAAACCACACAGGTCAAAAGTAGTCTTCGATACCTGAGTAATTTGGCAACCATCGCAATTTAGAAATAATTAAAAATGAACCTTTGGTGTAGGCAATGAGAAATGAATAGATTTTTACATGGATGTCTATAGGATCATTTTCCTTTGTTTTGTATCTTTTGCATGACACCAGGACACTCAGATCTGCTGGACACTTTTGCGCAACTTAATACAGTTTCCAATCAGCATCAATGAGACATTTAACGAGAATACCTGGGGAAGGTCCTGAACGTTGAGTGAGTGTGTGCATGCTCATTCAGGGCTAGGGGAATGCTCTAAATGTTCCTGTTTTGGTCTGTCTGCTATGTGCAATGTGATGCATTTGACTACTCACAGCATGAGAAGTTATCATTGCTAAGGATTGTTGCTGCTGTTATGGTAAGCGCTGACCTGATGTCTAGTCCCCTTACCTTCAGAACATCATAAGACCACAAACTGCAAATAAGCCAGCGTCCCTCCCTTTGGAGGTACAGACAGAACAGCCCCCCAGGAACAGAAAAAACTAAACCTCTACTGCTCTACTCAGTCCTCTTCTAGAGTTGAGAGACATCCATATCATGCTAAACCTGAGTCCCTATTGCTCTTCTAAAAGCATCACAAAGAACTTTCAGACACGGCAAACGACACAGGCAGGTGTATGACTTCTCAACCTTACTGTGTTTGCAGTTTGAGTCAAGAGTATCCTCAGGTACAATGTCATTTCATAGTAGAGAGGTAAGATTTCTTCAACTATCCTTACAAGGACACATGAACAGACTTCATACCTAAAACTCACAGCTCTCATCCTCACTCTGTGATGTCAACCTAGTGATATCCACACCTAAATAAAAGCATGTGCACTCTGACTTCTTGGACAATACTCAGCTGTAACTGAATGACCATCGATTGTACCAGTATTCACTGAAATACATTTTTATAAAGCTCTGTGGATAGGAAACCCTTTCACCAAAGTTATGAAAATAATCTCTTTAAGACAGGAAATCTCTTAGAAAGGTAAAGTTACCTTTATTCTTTGTGCCTGTAATCACTTACATGGATTCTGTTACGATTTCAAAACACGGTGTCCTGTTAACCTGTTTCCTAAATTAAGTCACTAAGTTTTCTTATTCAATGTGGAAGACAGTCATCAAAAGGACATTAAATATTTTACAATCG